CTATAACAACATTAGTTTTAGGCATCTTTTAGTTTTTCATTCGATACTTTTGGTCAAGTGAATCCTGCTGACATTTGTGGAGGATCGTGAAGTTAATTTCCATTCAAGTTGTAGTCAAGTTCTATTTGTACTCGAGATTATTTCCAGGTTTTTAATTCAAGCTTTTATTATATTTACTTTATAAAAATCATGTTTTGTTTTATGATTAACTACTGTTGTAGCACATTTCTATTTAAAACTATGTTCGGCTAAATCCTTCGATACCAGTATGTAAAAGTAATCAAAGAGAAGGGATTCGAAAATCTATTGGCTTAAATAATTTCAAACTACTTTTCTGGTGTTGGTTTCTAATTAAATTCTATGACAGTTTTATTACGAGAGTAAAAGACGAACAAAGGTTAAAATCAATACAACACGAGTTTGAGATTTTTAATCGGATAGTAGTAACGAAACATTGATTTAAATACAGCGAGAGCGCTTTAGGATTAATCAGATTTTATTGGTTTCCAAAAAGTATTTTTAAATTCGAATGAGACAGAGAGAGCAAGCATTTAGATTTAAGACTATAGTATAAGTCAAAAAACACGAGAGTGTGAGATAAGGATTTTTAAATTAATACTTTCTATTGAAAAGCATTTTTAAAAACAAAGCCAATGGTTTATCGAATCCTTGAAGTATGAAGAATTACATACTAGTATTCTTTATTTCGAATATTTTATTAAACTTGAATTTACTCCCTATTTCTCTCAAAAACCTAAGATTAATCTTCAGCCATAGATTACATAGTAACATTAGATAACATTAGTTTGATTATCAGTCTCTGTGGGTTCGGTATCTTTTAAAACTACACGATTAGACGGTGCACTTGCAGTCAGTAATCCCGACAAACTCTTAAAGTCCCGATTATGAACCTGATATCTAAGCCCAAAAATAAGAACCAATGGCCAAGCCCCAGGGGCACTCTATAAGCCCTCACACTTGTGAGGGTCAGGTATCAAATATTCATTCTAGAAACTATAATATCTTTCTTGTATCTCTTTGCACTCTTTCTTACTTGAGCGTCGGAGTGCCTTGCATGTACACCCCCTCCTCCTCACTGATTCTTGCCTTACAAACATTATCTATCGGTCCACTTCAGATTCCGGTCAAGCGGCAAGATCAAAATGCATCCCAAGGGTAAAAGTACTTGGACCATAAGAATAAATATGGTAGGATGAGGTTTTCCTCTTAATATACATATAGCATATGTTTGCTGGAATGTATAATTATGGGTGCATTTCTGATATAGTCTACCTATATGATAATAATATGGTGCCGCTTCATAAAGTTTAAGGGCTTGACAAATTCTCATTAAAAGGATATGAGATACAAGACCTTATTAAATGTGTCATATTAATAATTCGATCAATGGTACTGAGATTTCATGTATGAGTTATGCATGTTTGTTCTAATGAATAATTGTTCAAGACTTGTCTAACAATCTATTCGGGGATGAGTGAAAACTTAACTTATTAAGTAATGGTTTAAATCGTAAGATACCTTTATCTGAAACCATGAAATTTTATTAATAATGAATTTAGATATATTTTGAAAATAGTGGTGGATTGTTGGAGAATTTCCAAAATATAATAAATATTATGTTCTGACAAAGTAATCATTGGAGATATGTTGGCATAATGGTTGAAATTGTTAGTTGCATCATTCATGTCAAGGGTTCAAGTCTTGGTGTTGGCATCTATGTTTTTAGTTGTTTATATTTTGAACAGAAAAAATGCTACAAAAGATTTACACCCATTGGGTGTTGAACCAGGGTCGTTTTTGCCAATAGGTATGCCTAGACTAAGGCATCTGCCACTCAACCAATGCAATGTTTAGACTAATATTTGAATGAAAACATACATAAGAACGACAAGTGACCAGTGATTCAAAAGAAGTCTCCTTCTACCAAAGGATACATATTTCTTTATAAATAGAGATATTGTGCAAACTCTGTGAGTACAACTTCAACATAAGATATTTTGCATGATGTCAAAACTGGGAAAGATGGAACGGCGATAAAATTAATTGTATTTCTTTGTCTTGTGGTACTCCTCTGCATCATAGGTCTTAAGAATCATCAAAAAACACTTTGAAATTGACCAATCTCATTGAAAAACATTTTCTGCACATTTTTACATTGCATGTGTCGACACATTCGATTTTCAGGTTGACACATGCAACTCAGTTTTTAAACCTGTAAGCTTCTGTAAGTCATAGATCGACACATATAACCTTCAGGTCGACAATTACTGAAAGAATTCTGAAATTGCAGAAATTTTTATTTTATGTGTCAACACATTCATATTTCACTTTGACACATTTACTTATGTTTTAAAGCCTATAGCTACTGACTTGCTCAGATCGATATATACAGTCTTTCAGATCGACACATGCAGCCTTTTTATAAAGTATGTGTCGACACATACGATTTTAAGGTTGACACATAAATTCTGTTTTGGTCAAATTTTTATTTTCTTTTATTATGAATCTGTCTTTTTTCCCTAAACTTTTCCAAACTATAAATACCCTTTCATCTATCATTTCTAACTTGATTATACCATAAAACTAGTCTATTTTTTCTCTTCATCTTCAATCTTCCAATCTATACATACACACCAACATTACATTGTGATGATGTTCTGTCGGAGTGCCATCTAGACGAAGAATTTAAGATTTTCAATTGGTTTGTGTTGAGTTCTTGTAGGGGTCTTCATCTAGAAAAACCACCGGGTTTGTCCTCCAACATCATTTGTTGAATTGGGGGTTTTCATGTAAGATTGTGCGAGAAAGAATCGTCCGTGTGAAAAATCCCTTGGAGTGTTTGAAATCTTTTCAAAGAACCTTAGAGTTTTTGAAATCTTTTTAAGGAAGTAGCAAGAATTGGATGATAGAATCAGTGATCTTGTGTTGATAGTTTGCAATCAAATTTACTCGAGTGAAAAATCTCTTTGAGTGTTTAAAATCTTTGGAAGGAACCTTGGGGTGTTTGAAATCCTTTTAAGGAAGTAGCTTAAGCGGCAAATAGGCTGCATCTATCAGTTGATTTGATCTTGCTTAAGATCAAAGGTTGGAAGAAGGAGCATCAACACCAACTTGAAGAATTTTGTATTGTTGTTTCTAACTCTTCCATTGTATTAAATATTTTGCATATAAGAATTATCCTAGTTCCATTGAAATTAGGTGCAGACGTACCCACACGCAAGGACGACAGTGGGGAACTGTATAGACAAATTTCTTGTGTGTTTTCACTTTTCTACTTTTACTTGCTTTCAATTTCATCAATCTTTTTATTATTTAGCATTGTGATAGTAATTGAATTGTAAGAATTTTTCTCTCAAAATCTGTTTTTGAAATAAGTGTGGATATAGCTTATAATCAATTTTGATTATAAGTGGTTTTGTATATCAACACTACTCAAAGAGAAATTCTGAAAATTCACTTGCACGCCAAGTGTTAGATAAAACGGTCAAGTTAGATCTTTGATTATTTAGCCTTGGAAATAACATTGCAAAGTGATTGTGTTCAAACAATAAATAAGTAGATTGTTGATTTTAATTTATATTAATCAATTACTCAATTTTATCCCATAGATTTATCTTTCATAATTTATATATCCGAGTTTTTAATAAGTTTTTTTTTAGACGACTTATCCAGTTAGTTGTTTCCGCTTCAAAAAGTTTGAAAACAAATTAAATTCTAGATTTGTGTCTAAAAATAATTTTTGCAACTCTATTCATCCTCCTCTAAATACGCGTTGTCGTCTAACAAACTCAAAATATATATATATATATATATATATATATATATATATATATATATATATATATATATATATATATATATATATATATATATATATATATATATATGATTCAAGTAAAAATAATATCTAAATTATTCTTTTATTTTTCTAGTGCACGAAAATAAATGATATAACTTTATTCAGTAAAACATCGTTGATCGATACGCTTAATGTGAATGTGCGATTCATGTTAAAGTTTTCAAAATATTCTGAAGGGGATTAGCCGATTTACTAATTTGTATCCAATTTGCCTAAATTAGTGAGGACGAATCGAACTTATAATTTAGTGTGAACACACACTTTAAAAATTTTTTGTGCAACTTTCATCACAACGGTTTCATCTTCTTCTTATCAATATTTTGGAACAGACCTCCAACATAAGATCTAACATAGTATAATAAATCCTACCTTAAAATAATGTATCTACGAAGAAAAATGAAAACTAGGAAAAGACGAGACAAGACAAATTTGAAAGTAGTGTATTTGAGTAGATAGTTAAGCAATTTTGAATGTGTTTTTTTGTATGCATGAATTCTCATGAATTTTGAGTTAGTGGGTCTATTTTCATTAAAATTAGTTCACCTCACCATATTACGAGAATATTGATATCCTTTGTAATTTCCAATACTATCTAAAAACCGGAACTTGCAAATTTGAAGCCACATGCAGGTTTCATCATCCTAAAGACAAGGTTGGGGTTGCTAGAAGAGTTTCCTTAAACATTTTAGGCTTTTTTTTTTCATGGGATCCTTAATCCTTCTACTTTGAATGCTACAAAGGAGGTAGTGGAGATTTTCTACAAATTGGGATTCTTAAGGTGATGAATACATTGAAATGGGTAGCTTGTGTGATTTATTTCAATGACTGCAAAGAGAGAGAAATGGAGAAGAAAGTGGCAGAACCTTTTGATGAAAATTTCAAATTTCAAAATTGTGTGTCAAAATATGATTATTCTAAACATAGATAACCCAACCAATATTGATGTACAAAACCAGACAGCATTTGTGTACAATTATGCATCTCAAAATAAAAATTCAAGTGGTACAATTGAAATACCTCCAAGAACATTAACATTGAGTTCTACATCATCACATCAAGAATTAAAGTGATATAACAAACATGCATTTCATTACATTACATACATATATAATAAAAATTCTTACTCAGCTTCTTCAACAAAAGCTTCAATTCGAAGAAGAACAAACCCAACAGCAACACCAACAAGAGTAAGTCCATTCATAATAGCCGCAATCTGAAAAATCTCACCTGCAGCATTACATGTAGAAGAAGCAGCACCACCACCTCGACCACTTCTTCTTCCTCCCTTATATATTGAATTCATCACCTTTGCAAAAGCTTGTTCAGTGCTAACAGGAACTCCTAGTGATGCCACAGTGCTGTTCTGAGCTTTCAATCCGTTTAAAGCATTGAGTCTTGTGATGAACTTCACTTTGTTACTCTTCCTGTTGTTCCTTGACTTAGAACCGATTGTGCTTCCTACAACAGTGATTGTAGATGGAGATGTTGCTGAGGCTGTGGCCATTTTTATTATCTGTGAAATATGAGAAAGAGGTTAGAGAAACATATTGAAGTGATGAATGATACTATAAGGAAAATAAATGCAATAACCTTTTTTTTTTCCTTGAAATCTGTGTGGAGTTTGTGATAAGGGAGATTTGTGTTTTTGGATTAAATGGGAGAAAAGGATAAGGTGAGATGAGTATGGTTGGATGATATAAGAAGAGAATGTGATAGATTGTTGATAATACGTGGCCTATAGCTTTACTTGGATGCTGGCCAACAATGATATTGAAACCCAATCACCTTGCAAAGTGTTGACTAATTTCTCTTAAATTCAAATAAAAATGAAAATACATATTTTTATTATTTTGGATTCTGTTTTTTTAATCTCTTTCTTAATCGATTATACTTTTTTTTTAATGAAAAATAAAAGAGAATAAAATTAAGAGAGATAGTGAATAAGGAGAGAGTGTGAGAAAAATAAAGAAAAGAATTCATATTCATATTTTTATGAATATTATATTGAAAAGTATATTCTTAAAAATATTACGGGAATAAAATTCAATTAAGATCCTTTGAATTTTATTGAATAAGTGACCTCAAATATAAGAGGGATTGCATTGAGGAATTTAAAGTTCATGAATAATTTTTTCCTATATCAATTTAAGATAGTGTTAGTAAATTTATGAGTGATTAAGCGTTGTGGAAGTAAAGTACAAGAAAGTAAATTGCATAAAATTAAGAGGATAAGGGTTAGAAAGATTGCACCAGAGAGTTATTTAGGTTTGATCGAACGTTGGCCTAATCATGTTCCTAAGAGGTCTTCTTGGGATTTTTCACTATAGACTTATGAGTTTTTAAAGGTTATACCCACAAACCTTAATACAATCTGATCTTGAGATTTTGAACAGACTAATCCCCAACATAAAGACAACATTTACCTCAGCTTATTCTATCTAGACAATTAGAGATTTTTGAATAATCTCTTTGATCAAAACAAATTTTTTTTCTGCAAAGTTTGACAAACCAATAACAGAAATATATGGATCATTTCAAGAACCAAAACTTGATCTCTTAAAGGTATCGCACCCTTAAGACTATAAGTAACCAGTAAGACCGCATACAAAAGTATTCTCCTCACAAATAAAATTTCACTCCAAAGCACTAAGGCAACCATAAGTGAAGAAATAAATGGTTGCTTGTATGCCTATTTCGATTGGACATTTGATGCTTGCATGCCTGTTTTAATTGGATAAGCTTCGATTGGACAAATAACTCCATCCATGCTTGCTTCTATTTCACCTTCATGTCTGCTTCGAATCTACCTTCAACATTGGCCTCCTACATGATGCACAAGCAAGGGCCTCCTGCATGCCTGCCTGCACAAGGCAATGGCTTCTCTTCATGCTAGCACCCACAAAGCAAGTGGCCTCCTGCATGCAAGCTTCGATTGAAGCAATAACCCCTTACATGTTTGCTTTGATTCACAAAGCAATGGCTCCTTACAGTGTTTGTTTCGATTAAGGAAGCAAAGGTTTCTTTCCTGCTTGTTTCAAATCACAAGGCAGGAAATTCCCTCACGCATTGGCTATTTTTATACTAGCTTCGAATGGAAAATATCTCCCTTTGAAATAGCTTGCTTCAATTCCACCCTTGAAAATCTTTAACACACAATTTCTACACTATGACACACAATTGTTGTTCCATTCGTAGGACATACTTTGGTGGTCCATTCGAAGGACCTGCAAGACATACCTGGATGTCCCATTCGAAGGACATATTCGGTGGCCCATTCGAAGGACCTGCAAGACATACCTGGATGTCCCATTCGAAGGACATATTTGGTGGCCCATTCGAAGGACATATTTGGTGGCCCATCCAAAGAACATGAATTTGTTGCATTCGAAGGAATATGCAAAAGGTCCATTCGAAGAACACAATTAATGTTTGGTCTCTTTATGAGTCTAGTCAAAGGCTTGCTGACCAAAGTCCAATGAGCTGCCAAGTTCAAGCCTGCTACACTGAACACAACACTCCAAAATTGCTACACAGTAGTCCTGCTACACTACTCCCATACTTGCACCAAATTGGCATACAAACACTGCATCTCGAAAGCTACAAAAATAGAATACTCAATTTGTTCAAATTCTTTTGTTTTCCATCCTAAACCTCATCCAACTTCATCTATAAATAAGAGGCTCCATAACACATCTAAGGGGATGGACAACACATCCAGAGGATTTTTGATAGCTGGAGAAACTTTGATTGTGTGAAAATTATCAAACACTTAACACATTCTCAAACCCAGAATCAAAAAGACCATACCTATGTTTTTGTTCCTTTCGAATCCAACACTAAAAACACAACACTTGTTTCTTTTCCCTTTTGAATCAAGGAGGAACCCCACGCTTTGTTCTTTCTTTCCAATCCAGCAGAAGAAAAACTACACATGTTCTTTTCCTTCGAATCTAGAAACAACAAACATAAACTCCATTCTTCTTGGCTTTCGAATCCAACATTAGAAACACCACCTTTTTTTCTTTCCTTCGAATCCAGGAGCACCCAGGGCATCAACTCAAGGTCCAACACGCACATCCCAACTTCAAGCAAGGTAAGTCACTCTGACCTTAACCCTTTTGTTTCAAGCATGTAAATAACATTTGTTCACTTTTTATTTTTGTCCTTTCAATTGCATGTTTTTCTTGTAAAACTAACCTGTATAGACCCCAAATGAAAGAAAAAGTTTTATGTGAAACGAAGCCTCAGGCTTCGCCCCCTTACTTCTTCACAGTCCCAAACAAAAGACAAAGAGGGCGCGAATGGAGGATGCGTACTCATGCTGCTTTGCAGACCCATATTGCTTCACAGTCCAAACAAAGGAGCAAGAAGGGAGAAACGAAGGGTGTTCACACTGACTTCTAGGCCCAATCGAAAGAAGCAGCCAGAAGGATGAATCGAATGTTGCATCTCACGCTGACTGTTAGGCCCAAATCGAAATAAGCCAAGAATAGCAGAATTAAAGGGTGCATTCTGCCTGGATCGAAGAACTTATGTTCCCTTCTTTTATTTTGTTTTGTCTTTATATTTTCTTTCTATTCAATATGGTTGTAATAGTGTAGGATATTTATTTTCTGCATTTTTATTGTTTTATACAAATGTTAGTAATTAGGGTGTATGGCAAGATAAAACTAACAAGTAGACCACCCTAATCAAAGACTAAATGCATGCAAATCAAACACATTATACACACACATGCACCTCTAGGATAATCTCACTTGTTGCCTTGGAAAATAGTCATGTCCCTCGAATATGGGCGTTTTAGCAAAGACCCTCGATAAAAGATCGTAGTCCCTCGATGTTTCCTTCAGTAAACGATCTAGTCCCTATACAAAATTGCTAAAACGTCTCATAGGTTGCCTTCTATGACTATACAAATGACCCACGCTAGTCCCTTCACATCCAACGATGGGGCTTCTTACCAAATCAATGGTAAGATAGAAACGTCCAAAGGAGGAGGAAAAGAACATTAGACCTTTTGAGTAGGTAGGATGCTCATAGTTGCTTACTTGCTCACAACTAAAAAACATTTTCACACCAACACTTTCAATTGAAAATTTTTCAAAATACAAAGTTCTTTGTACGCATTCTTATAGAGATGAGAATCATTACAAAGGCACTTTTCAAAATCACTTTCAAAAACATCTTCCACAAACATATCTTTGAACTATTTTCAAAATCAACACTTTGTACGCATTCTTATAGAGACGAGAATCATTACAAATACGTTTTCAAAATATTTTCAAACCCACACCACAAGCACATTTTTAAACAAAGCAAGTGATATATCAAGCAACTAAGAGCCCGTAGATAACTATGGATGAAAAGGGTGCTAACACCTTCCCTTTTCATAACCTACCCCCCAAACTCAAGAAATAAACTCAAAGGTCTTTCCTGTTCTTTTCACCCTTTCCTTTGTTGGATAAAAAGAAAAGTCGGTGGCTACTCTTGCTATCCGCAACAATTGCGATCAAACGCAAAACACCCAAGTCAGTTCTCCCACCGTATTACAAAACCTATCTTCGGAAAGGGGTTTAGTGAAGACATCAGCCCATTGATGTTCTGTGTCAATAAATTTTAATGAAATAATTCCTTTCTGAATATAGTCCCTAATGAAGTGATGTTTTATTTCTATATACTTAGCCCTAGAATGTAAAATAGGATTTCTAGATAAACAAACGGCAAAAGTATTGTCACAGAGTATATGAATGTTACTCTCAAATATGTTGAAGTCTTCAAGCTGACTTTTCATCCAGAGCATCTGTGTGCTCCATCCAGCTGCTGCTATGTATTCAGCTTCAGCAGTTGATAATGCAATTGTGGATTGCCTCTTGCTGGACCACGAGATCAGATTTTCTCCCAGACATTGGCAACTTCCAGAAGTACTTTTTCTTTTTATTCTGTCTCCAGTAAAGTCAGCATCGCAGTACCCTACTAATTTGTATTCTTTGGTTTTTCTATAAAATAGGCCAAGATTAGTAGTATTTTTTAGATACTTGAAAATTCGCTTAACGGATGTTAAGTGAGATTCTCTAGGATTTGATTGGAATCTAGCACACAGACATACACTATACAGAATATCAAGTCTTGAAACTGTAAGATATAAGAGAGAACCAATCATACCTCTGTAGATCTTCTGTTCTACCTTCTTACTTACCTCTTCCTTTTCCAGAATGCATGTAGGATGGATTGGAGTTTTGGCTGGCTTACATTATGATAGGTCAAATTTCTTCAGAAGTTCTTTGACGTACTTGCTTTGATGTATGTATGTTCCTTCTGGAGGTTGATTGATCTGGATGCCTAGAAAGAACTTGAGTTCTCCCATCAAGCTCATTTCAAACTCTGCCTGCATAGACTTAGCAAATTCTCTTCCTAGAGAGGCTTTAGTAGATCCAAAAATAATATCATCTACATAAATTTGACCAACTAGAATGTCATTTTTAAATGGCTTACAGAATAAAGTTG